CAGGGTTGCACCCCTTGGAGGAATTCTCCCAACTAACCTGGGAACGAGGCGGAGCGCTACGGTTAATGCGTAGGGCGCCTTACCAGTTGGGCGACGTTCGCAACTCCCGCTCAGTCTTCTGCCCCACGTTTGAACGTGTCCCTCCTCCTGGAAATAGAGAGTCGCAGACGTATCAGCGAGGAAGGTAGGATCTAGAAGCCGTTATGCGGACACCGGTTGCGCGGCCATTGAACTTGGCATGGCAGGAACAGGAATACGGCGCGGACAGGGGCGAGCGAGACGGACGCCTAGGTGAAAGCCAGCGCAATTCGAATGAAGAGCGCCGCGAGCCGCGGAGACCGAGCATGAGGGAGAGATGAAGATGAGGGTAGGGCCCGGAGGACGAGACGAGGGGCATCGTCCACGCTAGTCCGGTTCTGGCAAAGTCTGTACCGAAAAAAACCATGGTGTAAACAGTGGTTGCAGAACACATCTGAATGCCACCCTCCGACTGGATTATCATGAGATATTCTGGATGTACTTGCAGACACCGATTGAAACCACAATAGAACGCCAATTCGGCGGTAGCGTTGACTGCTGTCAATGTCGCAAGTGGTGCCATGATGTTTGTGTTGCGCCCTTGAACATGGGAAGAGTCATCTGCGCGTACTGAAGCTATTGTGCCTCACTCGGACAGAGGTCGCAGTTTCGATCAAAAATTGAGCGTTTGCAGCGGTCACCTGAGTCCACCCACGGCCCCACTCCATAATTCACATTCGGGAGCTGGAGCGGCGGCCTAGACGACATCAATCTCTACACGACCAACGCTTTAATTAGCAACCACCCATATCTTCCCCTGGATGTCCCTCGGCAGCCTCGATCTCGATGCGGTATACATGGCAGCGCAGGTAGTTGAAACACAAGGCCGCTGCCTCATCACTCGACCGGCTACACCCGACTGGGCCGGGTCATACGACTTTGACTTCGTCCTGGATCTTGACGAGAGCCTACGTTTGCTCCTTGATCAAATCGAACATAGAAGAGACCACTACGGCCGTGATGCTATCGAGTCGCGTCCTGCCCATACACCGGAGGCGATCTTGGCGAAGCATTGCGGCACCGAACATGGGAAGGCGCATCGCGAGGGCAGAATGACCATGGGCGCTTCTACACCGGAGGAAGACTACATGCGGGATCTTTGGAAAGGCGTACCTACCAGATACAAACAAAAGATTCCCTTGCCACAGCTCTACCCCGACTACACCAGGAGCGTCGGCGTCGCAGCCACGGCGCCGCCTTCTCACCAAACCAGCGAATCCACTGTCATCCAAAAGCACTCTCGCGGTTCAAGCAGCAGCGACACCGATGATCAAGACGCCGTCTTCTCTCGGCCACAGCGAGGTGACTGGACCGTGTTGATCAGGCCGTCCGAAACCCCCAGTCAAGGTACCCTTCTGCACGACTGCACCTGCGTCCCGAGATTCCCCGCACGTAGGGTCAAAGATGCGTCTCCATGGATGACATCTGGATGAAACGAGCGAAATCAGAGTCTGAGTGTCCAGCGCACACGATATCGATACTTGCCGAGCTTCCGACATCTGTGGCCGATTACGTCAAGAATACCAGCGAACGATGCGCCGCACGGTTCACAAGCATTTGGGCAAAAATTGGTACGCGGCACTTGTTTCCACAATGCTATCATGCCATCACCTCCCTATGTCTCCATTTCCAAGACCAGCATGCGGCGGACGTCAAGTGCCAGGCGCAATCTTTCGAGACAGTCGAGATACAGCATGTCATTGGGTCTGGCTCACATGTGTGCGAAGAAAGTGAGGTTATCCTCTTTCTACGACACTCATAGCTAGGACTTGCGCTTCCTAAGCGCTGCTATACTGAGCTGTGTCGCTTTATAGCCTTCTCACTTGGAAACCATTGGCAGTGGAGATGACGCAAAGATCTCGCCAGTACAACGCACGAAATAGTCATATGCTTCAAATAAAAATATTCAACAAGCTCAAAGCCACAGAGCTATTCAAAACATGAACGTGGCCTACATGTGTCTGCTTCGTGAACTACTGGTGCGTCATTGTGGCCATTAAATATCAATAGAACCGGATAACCTCACACAATGTATACGGGATCGCGATCTTAGCTCAATAGTCAAGGTCGCCTAAACTGTTCTCGTTTGAGGAATACGAGAAAGCGTAATACTTTCGGCATCACCTGATACGGTATTGTATCCATGAACTGCCCATCTCCCCATGTACGGGTGGTGGTTGTGCCCTCAAGATGCGACCAACTCCCAGTCTTGATCCTTCTCAGCTTGTTTTGCATGTCCATTCACACTCGCATCCAAGGACCTGTTCACAGCATCTCTGCTAGCCGCCTTAGCACTGCCACTATGCGCCGACGCCATCACCGCTTTTCCATCCAACTCTCCAGCGCGTCGCCCTGCATCCGCGGTGTCAAAGGCGCCGAGCATCCGCGCGTACTTGTTGGCTCCCTCTGCTGTCTTCTTCTATCCACTGGGTCAGTGCATATAAGAAACTGGGTGGACCAAGTCCTTACGACGATGGACTCCACCCTGCGTCGCATAGGCAAGCGCCGGTTATGTTCCCCCAACGAGTGTCTGCAGTCCATGTGGAAGATGAATTCCTCTGCGTCGCGCTGAACGGCCCGCAGTTCTTGCCTGATACGCACCGCGCGTTCGTCAAACTCGTGTAAGAAGGCGCGATCGCGCAGGGTCGCGGCCTGCAGTTCGGCTTCTTCTGCTTGACACTTGGTTTCCAGCCTCGCAAAATGGTCCTGGAGGTTGCGGTAAGAGACACTGGGGTCAGGAGCTGTCGCCATATTCTCGCGATGCACTTGCAGAAGGCTCGTGTGTGCAAGTCCGGGGTGTTTGCGGAATGATGTGTCCTGAGGAGAGAGAGAAGAATATGGTCGATGCTGATTGCAATGAGAGCTCAGCACGATAGAATGATGTAGTTCTTTGATCCCATCGTTCAGATTAGATGTGTGTGTGAGGTGAGTGAGGATTGAGAATGCCGCGTAACGCTTGTCGTTGTGTAGCAGGTGAAGGTGATGAGTGAGCCGTGAAGGTACCATCAACTACGATTCCACCCCGTGGAAAATTGATAGACTTCATACTCAAGTACTGGGGTCAGAACAAGCTGCAATCGACGCAGTAGTAGTAGTAATAGGGGAAAAGAGGAGAGTATTTATTCTTCGTAGCTACAACCACTGGAAATATGCGAAAAGGGAACGTAATATTGCAGATTGAGATCGAGAGTACACGGTTGACGCATGGGATGATGCGCATGAAGATGTCAAGGTCTGGGTCAGTCGATGATGTCGCCGATGTGGAGCTAGCCCTCTTACGGTCAAGCTCTCGCGCATGTGAGGACGTACGCGAGCGCGAGTCTGATGCAACCCGTGGACGCGACCCCGCATCGACATCTCGCCACAGCATTCCTGGTTTTGAGTGTCAGCCTGACAACACATCTCCCTTCATCCTCCGCATCGCAACGAAGGAAGACTCGCGTCACCGCGGTTCCTCTCCCTCAGTCTCGTCGCGCCATGACTACCTATTCGAGCTGGCACTAGCCCCAAGCGCACCGTTGTCGAGATCCTCCAAAGGAGCCGGGGTGGCTGAACCATGCGCGCACGACTTCACTCATCCACGTAAAGGTGCTGCCTCCAAGTCTGGTCTTCGACAGCAATGGCGCGGGTACGACATCTTCCCCTCCCAAAAGTGGAAGGGCAGCTGCTGACATCCACCTAGACGACCTCCACGACCTATGCGATGGCCACAGCCGAGCCCCTCTTTCAAGGACCAGCCCGAAGCAAGCACGACGCGCATGCTTGACGTCTTGCCCCGCGTCGCACAATTGCCTACCTCTCTTCCACGTCGCCGCGAACAAGAAAACCGTCAAGGGGGAAATCTGCTATGACCGAGAACGCGCAACAACGAGAACCGATCGGCGGCGCAGCGCTTGAATTTGCTGTACGAAGGAGAGGCGGTATGAGCTGGAAGGTCATGGCTGGACGGAATCTGCGCCGTCCCCATCGAAAGGCCTCCCGCCTTGAGCGACGACGTCCGTAGGCTCCCTGCGATACTTCTTCCCCACCACACAAGCGGCCCCTTTTCACAACATAGAAGACTTTACGGATGCACCGAAACGAAAGTCGCCGGAGGCAGAAAAATATGAGTCGAGTTGGAGTAGTCTGTGGCGGCAGTAGAAGCTTTCGATCCTTGATTCGGCCATGTCTCGAATATCGTGGTGCAAGGGCTCATCGAAGGGATTGGTATGAGTCGCCAGCAGCTCCATGTGGCTTTCTCCTTCTGTCCCGATCAACACTTTTTCCCTACTCATGGAGGCTGGATAGCAACTTTCACGTTCCTGACGACGTCGACATCCCCATGTATCCTGTTCCCGTGCTTCTGCTTCCACAGGTTGTATTACCTTCTGCCTTGCTAGCATAGTATCAACCACCCTCCTGTCTGACCTGGATGATGATGAAGGCCGTAATCTGACATCGAATCGTCTTCCATCGTTCCCACGCGAATACTACTTGTTGCTTCCCTTGAACCTTGTCGTAGTGCCGAATTTCATACGATAAGAATCGAAACACTGGTTCACAGTTCGAGTAGTGGCAATGTCGCATTTGCGCAAGGGCTGTGCGTTGCGGCCTTCAGATTACAGCAGCATCTATTCGAAGAAATTCTTGCATTTCACCGAAGCCGAGTGTAGTAAGCGTATCCAACCGCTTGTCGAGATCTTCTCATTATGTCGTTCATTTCGGTAGACACTCAAGAAGATGCACTCACTGTCGGAGGTCGACCAGATGACGCTGACCCAAAGCAGCCTAGCTCGGGTTGCCGTCACTGCCAACCATGGATTTCGTCGTGGCCGTGAGTTCCTTCCCACTCATCCAAGCACGCGGTCCGTCTCTCACTTTTCACCTCACATCATCAAAGCCGCTAACAATGGGCATTCGTGGCTCACCGTCTCGCGTATAGCATGGGTACCTCGTTAGCAAAGGACGCCCGAGCACTGCAACGCCAGATTTCCACTTTAAACGCAGATTCGGAAGCCACGCTGATCACATACTCCAACTTACTGCACAAGTATCCTGAAGACCGTCGCGCGTTGCTTGCACTGCTCGACACGACCGCACACGGCATCATCGAGGGGTGGAGGCTACGAGCGCTGGATGACCATACGAACGCACGAGGAGCATTCAATAGCCTGGAGAAGGGACGCTGGGTAAATTTCGGCTGGCTTGAACTTGACATCGCCTTCGCATCGGTCTGGGTCGACAGACCGACCTTTCTAGTTCAACTGCGAGCGCTGCACGACAGGACCAAGCTCGATTGGAACACGGCTGTTGGCTTGATTGCAACTGCTAAGGGCAACGCTCCCGACTTCAAACCAGCACACGTTAAGAACGCACTAGACAAAGCACGAGCAGCAGAGAGAAGCGCAGCAGCCACACACGTAAAAACGGCCGACCAAGGCGACAAGAGGTCGGAACACGGGCCTGCAACTGACGACGGTGAGATCCAGGAAGGGGGTGCAGGACAGATCGATGACGAAGACACAACGCTTGTAGATCACGATCAGCCGCTACAGCAAAGCACTATTCGCCCACCCATAACGCAGTCCGACCCCACAAGCTTTGGTGACGACGACACATGCTTAGACGACGGCATCTTCCCGGTACAGGAGATCGAACGGCAGCATCTCGACGAGCAGCGTATCGAACCGCAACAGCTCGATCAGACGCGCCTTGTCACGATGGCCACAAGCAATGGCCAAAGCGTACAGCCTGAAGATCGGGTCGCGATTGTGCAGCGGTGGAAGCAGGAGCTGGAGGATAGTCGCGCGAAGGCAAGGGAATCTCGGGAAGCCAATGTTGCTGCCGGCGTACATCTCGAGGAAACAACGAACACATCGAATTCGAACGCTCGCAAGAGAGTTGCGCGTGTCGCATTTGGTATACCAGATCATGACGGTCAGACGGGTGGTGAAACCGCTGGAAAGGTTTTGGCTGATGCGACGGCCGAGCTGGAACGCACAGCGACGGCGTGGAAGGTCGATCGAGAAGAGACCGCACGGAGGGAGGCAGAATTCGTCGAGATCACGCGTGTGATCCTAGAAGGGGTATGAGGGCTGGAAGACGATGGCATGACACGACCGCTGCGGCGGCTATGAACATGATCAAAGCGAATCGAGAGGGTATGAAATCATGCGATTCGCATATGTACCTAGGTAGCATACTTACCGTCACGGAATGAACGTGATTCTATATTTGGTGTAATAATGTAACCTCGTGTACCTAGCAAGATTCCGCCTTTGTTTTTCATCAGCGCCACATCTCCACCCAACTCACCACGAGGAAAGGCAGTCTGATGTGCTCAGGACCAGATTACGCGTAGCAACAGCTCTATGACTATTTGATACGTTTCGATCTCGACAAGGTGACCACTTCAGCCTCCACGGTCTCAGGCCCTTACTACGCCGGCAACCTACTACCTGCACACGATACAAAGGAACGTACCGAACGGGATTCCTGCTTACTGTCGACTGAGACACGTCTCAGTGCACCTACAATAACCTGGCTGGCCTCATCACCATGCCTACCCATGCCGTGCAGGAGATGACCGTAGCGTAAGACGCCGCTGGCTTCGCGAAACGCAATGTATCCTTTGAGCACCATCAATGGTGTGAACATATGTTTCCCTGGTGACATCGATCGATGTTGAGGGCGGATGGCTAGATCGGCGCAATGTCGTGGCTTCTGATATCTTCGCTTCGCTTCGTCCGCTGTATCGTATATCTGCTGAGAGCTGAAGTTAGCGTCGGTGCCTGGCGGTGTCTTCATGAACTGGAAATACGCACCGGAATAAGCTCGCTACTCAAACAGGTCTCGGCAGTCTATCGGCGTGGCTCTCGCGCATCCTATGCGCAACGAGGCGCACATATCTGCGACTGATTCAATGGACACAAGGACGTGGCTATTGGCTACCGCATCCGGGAACGGCCCATCGTGAACAAGATTGGGCGACCGGCGATGCGCTCCACGCGATGGGCACTTCCTCGGCCGTGGTCTGTTGCTGGATATGTCGAGTGATCGGCATTGGTGCCTGGAGACGTCTGCACACCCGCTAACTCATGGCCGTCCTTCTGTCGGCGCCGTGCCTTTCGCACCCGTGGTTTTCGTGGCGCAGTATAGTGGAATTCGATCGCGGCGCCTGCGAGAGCGTGTGTGTCCATGCGTGAGTGTGCGTCAAGCCACAAGGTGGGGGTAAGTTGGGTCTGGGATGAGGTGCGGCCGAGGTCGACAGATTGGACAGGGATCCTCGACATCGTTGGGGAGCACATGGAAAGCACGTGGTAGCGCCATCAAATTAAGCAGGTGGTGCTCATGTATACTTTCGTCCCAATACTTCGTCGTAGCATGCGATGCAGAATGCGATTACCCCTAGTGACGCTTCTGTCGAAGCCGAGTGGTTTGCACTCATGACCGTAGCCATGACCAGATCATCGCCTGATCTGCGATCCATGGCGGTTCGCATGTGAAATGGAATGCAAGAAGTTGCCCTGCGTCGTGTGATCGAGGGAGTCATCAGTATCGACTGAAGAATAGTGAAAGCTTGTGATATCGGCCATGTCCCCCATACTGCTCACCCTCGACCCGATCAAGTGTCCATCTTGGACATTCTACGTCCGCCATGCGCGCGACCATGTCTATGCTCAGGCCCCGGAAGTTGGCTCTTACTTCCATCATCGGATTTCCAATGCCTTCCGGTTGGCCTCACCGCCATCTTTTCCGAGGATATGACATTGGTGCAGGTGCTGGTCATGTTTTCCCTCGGATCCATTGGAAAAGTCTGCTGCCGTCGCGGCGCATGTCAAAAGTTGCCGTCCTTCCGTTGTCGGGCGATTGGTCATCGCCGCTGGTTGAGTCGCACAACAGCGTTGCGGATGGCCAGAATGGACTTTGGCAGATTGTGGCGGCCAGCGATGGCTTCCGGTCGGGACAGCTTCCGGTCGCGAAGGCTTTAGGTCAGGATCGTAATTTTATTCTGGTTGAATATGGCGAGTCTCGGCTGGCAGCGACGCCTATCGCTTGTGATTGAAGATGCTGTGTCGCGATGAGGTTGACGCGCGGTGGGGTGGCTCGCGCGTCATCGGACACGGCCCGCTCTCATTGGCTGATCAGAAGGTGGGCGATTTTGCCGACCCCGCGAAACTCGAAGCCGCCACATCTCCTTCACCTCACATATGCATCCCCGTAACATTAATCACTCCCGGTGATTCTCGTAGCACGCACGATGCCTTTGCTTTAGTCTCCGGGGCAGAAATGCATCAACCTATTGCGCATACGTGGCCCGCGCGATGCCCATGTGTGACAGGGAAATTCCACCCACGTCCGTTACCCTGTCTAGTTTCTGCATCCGTCCAGCGTTATGTCGATTCTCTCTGTCATTTTCTATCGGTCGACTGTCGCGGATTCCATGTTTCGAGCCAGTCTCCACGGCCTTCTTGGTGTCCCCAGGAACGGAACACGTTCACGGTACTGGTCGTGTCAATGACGGGTTTCGATACATGCGCCTCTAAATGAGTTTTCCTGCGACATTGATGTTCTCTGTATCATTTCCTTATGGTATAGAAAACATCTAATTCGTGTGTCGACTCAGCATATTGCCATGTCTCACCGTACTGTGGCCTGTTACTACATTTGACCTCACACTTGCGTTAAACGCAACGAGAAGAAGCCACGTACGAAGCCAATCGGTGGAACATCTGCGTCTGTATTCATGAGTAGACGGTCGCCGCTTTGCTATAATGTCGCGGGTGGAGCTTCGTCGGATGCGGGTCGTTGCGGCACTAGCGCCAAGGATGTTAGGGCATGATGCAGGTACAACAAACAGTTCGAACGCGCACTTGAATCAAAGTGAATAGTACATGCGAGCCACCCGACACTCGCTTCCTCTCGCGCTTCAAACCGTTCACTGTCATCGTAAAAGACACTAGTCAACGACACGACTAGTTCCTTTCCAAGGTCATTGACATGGAGCGACCGCGTCCGCAACAATCACGTCCAGTCAACGATACATCGCCCCAATCCGGCAAACGAGCGGTCAAGTGCGCAGAACATGAGAAGCTTGAGAGACATATCATCGTGAGATCTGAGCAACTAGAAAGTGCGTCAATACCAACCCACTTTCTCTTCCCCAATGCTGACCTTTGGCCAAGTTAAAGTCGAAGACTGTCCCTCATCACCGCCCGTATCGTGTCACGCGCATATCAACTCCTCGTCTTCGGAAGCTAAATTGAGCTCCCCGTTATATTCAAGAGATCTCAGCACTCGTGCGTCTCTACAGTCTTCAATTCGGCCAATCATCCCCACCTCCTACACAACATCTCTGAACAAGGGCGATACTTGCATCCCCACTGCCCAAAGTCTTCGAGCTGCCGGATTCATTCACCCCTCATGGCCCGAAGCTCGATCGCGGGCACCCTACGTCCTGCCCAGGGGCTGGTACCGAGCATCAGATGAGAACGGCAATACGTACTTCTACAATGGCTTGGGCGTTGCGACCTGGCTGCGACCGACGGAGGTACCAGGTTTGCTTCCGGTCACTCAAGACATGGTAGACCGATACAATAATCCACGAGCCTGGGCAGAGGCTTCACTGCACACCACCAAGCCGACTGAGACACTGAATACCCCTCCGATCACCCAAGGTCTGGTGAATAAGTACAATAGTCAAGCCGAGACAGAAGAGGCAGAGAGGTTACCGCAGAACCCCGAGCAGGCTGACGTGCCGACTGACCAGCCCGAACCTGAGGAAATCTCACACGCGCAGCAGCCCACACCTTCGGGCTCTCAAGGCGTCGTTCCATACAACGCGAGCTCAATGCCATGGGCACCCCGCCGCCCTTCGCTGCTCCGCTATGAAGCCTCTGCCAGATTTCCAGAAAATGGAAACCGTCACGCGCCATCGGAATTACGTCGCTCAAGATCCCCACGCTCCCCACCGCCAGCCCTTCGTAGACCTCGCTCCGTCGAACGTGGTCGCGGGAGAGTTCGTTTCGCCCTCGATGAAGATGAAACCACCACCACATCCACTATCATTGCTGCAGAGACGAGGCCAAAATTCCACAGCAAAGAACCATTCAGCCACCAAAAGGGCAAGGAACACATCCGAACCTGTTTCTTCTGGAACCATCTGACCATTCCTCGCTGCACTAACGGCAATCGCTGTCGTTTTATGCACGAATGTAGTCATTGCCATAGTCTGGCTCACGGGCGCGCTCACTGCGACAGTGGTCTTGGCGAAGGTTATCGACGTGGTCCACGCCGAGAGGGGGACGTATACTCACGTCGCTGAGATACGTCATGCGACCGCGCATCCAACATAAGAATGGCAGAGGAGGCGAAGAGGCTTTGTCGCCGAGCGCAAAGGAGGGAGAGTACCGACGTGGATGCGGATGATGGCAGTCAGCGAGAAGATATGGTGGTCATCTTGAGAAAGTATGGTGTGTGGTTTCATAACGGCGAGCCTGTAAGAAAGCCGAGGATGTGGTTATCAGTTTGCCCCGTGGAATGATGGATGAACTGTTATCATGTAGAACAAACTTCCCGATTTGTCTCAAGGCAGAGCAGATACAACACGTGTTGGTCGTTGCTCTGATGTGCTGCGCTCTTGCAGGCCGCCCTTCTCCGCGTGTTCTCGTCACGAAAGCCTCCTGTCACTTCGTGTTCTGACCGACACGTCATTTGTGTTGTTCCTTTGATGGCGCGGCTGTGTTTTGATGCCGAGATTTCATAGGGAGTGTAGGAGTTGAAGGTTGAAGTTCGAAGTTCCCAGGTCTGCCGTCTGTCAGGGTTCAGTGCAGCAACCTCGGCTGATTAGTAAGGCTCTATTCCGCCCACGATGTTGTCTTCCAACAGCCTCGGGGCAACTTCCAAAGTCATGAGCAACATTTCGCCACAAACGCTACCACTCCGAATGTCGCATTCAGTTTACCCGAGCACACACGCGACAGAACCGGGATAAGCTCTGTACATGACAAGTGACATGTTGTCAGTAAATAGCACTGGTCAGCCTGGGATGTCATCATTCCCAGCGACGCGTTTGCGCTGAAAGCGCGCCATC